TCTCAGACTTCGGAGGGGTGACACACTACTGTGCCGTCACAGTTTATATACAAGCCTGACCTTCATTAGCAGGAAACCTTACGTGTGTCGTTACTAAAAAAAACAAGTTTGCAAAAAACAAGTTTGCAAAAAGAACATCAAAACATTTTGATTGCAAAGGGCAAAAGCACATAGAATCGATTACAATATTTAATGAAAATAGACCAGCTAGGACTGGGGAAAAATCCAAAACAACCAGGCTGCAGATCTTTTTGTAAAGCAACACGTGTACATGTCCAAAAATAACTGCTCACATTTACACCTCTCTCCGATGCTCTGGTGGGATGAATAAACATTGACAAAACAGTGACTTTAAGACTCACTGTCGACATTCAAACGTCATTCATCAGTTTGAATGTCGACAGTGAATCTTAAAGTCCCTGTTTTCTTCACTTAAAATATTCAGCTGGTGTCTTCTGCTGGAATTCTCTCTAAAGCAACTAAAAAGCTAAGTCTGTACAAAAAAATGAGCAATAAGACATGTATGATGGTCTTCCACATAGACCAAAGTGGCAGAATGTTACCAGATTGTGTGTTGCACACACACCTCAGCTAACAACCAACATGACCAAAGCTGCATTTCAGATAAAAATGGACTGCAAGCGCCTTCTAATCAAGCATTTAAGTGTTAGCTTTCCATTATCGTTGAAGCTTCAAGCAAATGTCTTTTTTTTTTTTTTAGATAAAAATAAAATAACATTTCCAGTTAAAGGTTTCAGTGGGGTTATAAAAGAACAGGATTTCTCAGAAGAGGAAAATAGGTTTCATAAATTGTAGTAATCATGTCTCCACATGGTCCAGCTCCCCATTTTCTAAATACCCTTTCAGACTCATCTGTAATAATGATTGTCAAGTAGATGAGCTATTAAAATTCATTTGCAATCTACTTCTCGCAGCACAGTGAGAACAAGAGAACAGAAAGTATACTGAGAATTCTACAAATGGTATTAAAAGAAGAGAGTTAAATGTAAGCTATGTACTCATGCTTTTTAAATTCCTTTAAGGCAAGTTTTTCCAAGAATTAAATCGTCTAGACACAGCTGGTGCATTTCAAAACCCTTGCTTTAATATACCTTTCACCAACACTGCGCCAAGACTAGTTGATGGAGAAACCTGATAAACACGACTGCTTAAAGATGGATATCGTGTGAGGAAAAGTGCGGTGATTCAACAAATAATCGCTATGTTTTCCTATAGAGTTCAATGGCATGTTGCCATTCCTCCGTCACTTGCTTGAAGCTGAATTTTTGCACATTTTTCCATTTATAATTGAGCTGCTGGATACCCGGTGTCTGCAACAAGCTCTCTAATACAACTAGTTGTGAGCTCCACATCCCACTGTTCCATAAGTGACATAACAATGTAAAGAAGCAACACAAATCTGATTCAAATACGTCTTTGGAGAGAAGGCATGGCAGGACAACACGGGTGAGCTAAGGGTGTAAGAGAAGTGTTTTGGATGACAGGAGATGCTGCCTCAATGTTGGTAATTTTATCCTCCACTAGAGAAATCGATAAGAGACAGCAGAGATATTGTGTGTGCGGCAGAGAGAAGTCTTTGTCTTCAACCCTGTTGATGTAAGTAACACTGCAGGAGTCAAAAGGGGTCGAAATCCAAACCATTCCCTGAACTTACATTGCCATTCTGTGACACCCCGTCCTTTGTTTTTGTGCAAGCGTGTGCATGTGTTTTTAATATTTAAACATCAGTAACGGCAGCCCCACTCTCTGCATTTCTCTTTTCACCTAAACAGTATTTTTGGTTTGACCTATTCAGGAACTTTCTAATGTTTTTAACTCATTAACTACTACTAGTCATAATAGTCATCATAATTCTCTGTGATGGATGAATCTTTATTATTATTTTTCCTAGTCAATGATCCACAAAACAATATTAGTTATAGTCGAAATGATCCCATCAGGAAATCCCTTAAAGTTTGTACTGTATAACTCTACAAAATAATATAAACCTTAAAGACTGATTTTTCATTGTCGTGAGGGTATACCCGGGCTATGTCACCAAGACAGCCAATGGCAAACAGTTTAACAGAGGTTATATTTAGTATTTATGTGGATATAAGAAGTGACACCAAATTCCAACTTAAAATGTTCTTCTACTCCAATCCTGCATACTGATGAAATGATCAAAAAGGATAACTTCTGTAGGGGTCTTTGTGTTTTACAGGGTCATTCAGTGTCTGCCAGAGCTCAGGTCTGAAGAAAACTCAGCACAAAGCAAATTTGTCAAAAGAACTTGTCCTCCATATGTACTTGTACCATTTCCCAGTGAGTAAAAACAATGGGTAAAAGTTAAGAAAGTCCAAAACAGAGTACGGTCATCCTCTTATTCTGCTTTTGCTCGTACAGATTATCTGTAAATTCTAATAAACAATGAAGGAAGTATGTGCCAGTGTCCCTCTTTTGGCTTATCTAAAACAGTATATATGTCTATTTTTCAAACTCCCCAACCGTAAGCGGGTATTGTCCCTGAAAATGGATTTGACGTGTTTTGTGAAGGTTTTCTATGTTTTTAGACAGACGCATACGTGCTAAGTGGCCCCACCTGTGAAGCTGTAGATATAAGGCAAGCCTGGTGAGCCCCCCCCCCCCGTCATCCTTGCTATATCAAAAATAAACGGGGGTTTTTTTCAACCACCAGATTTGCGCCCCCCCCCCCCGTAATACTCACCAGGTATGCTGTTTATCCAGACCAACACAGATGGAGCCAATTAAAAAAATGAAGGCCATGCACCACCCCAAGAGCCTTTAACTGCTCATGTAATGGCAGTGCAGATGCAGAATGGTGGTACAACTATGAGAAAAATGATCCGTTTCAGAAAAGACAATATATAAGTCAATATAATTTAAATACTTTATCTTCCAGCTATTGGCTGTCCTCACTTCCTGTTCCATTAAATACACTGATTCAGTGTTTAACAAGTTAGAAGCTGAGGAACTTAAAAAAAATTTGAATTGAATGACCAGTAGATTCAATTTGAACCTCAGAATGCATTTACCTGTTTATTAACCTCTTATATTATAACAATCAGCCGGACCGTCCGATGTGGGAGCAGCTTAATCAGAGTGTTATGGAAAAACAGAGCTTGATGGTCTATTAAATGATGCTCATAAAGCAAAGATAGATGCTGCCACAAAATGGATTTAAGAACCAGTAATCCTAGATTTCCATCTGTATTAAGCAGTATAAGTGACTTTGCCCATGACTGATTCTCAGAACATTATCCAGAACATCTTAGCTGTCAAATCTAATCAAAATCATACACACCAGGATGATGCCGTTTTATGCACTGAAATTTCATAAGAAATAAAATGTGTTAAGTGTTAATCCCAAAATTGTTGATTTAGTTCTTCTTCTTTAACTTAATTAGTACCACGTTTCAGCAATTCAAGAAAAGTCATATTCATCACCACTCAAAATCCTTCACTTCTTTTTAGTTTCCCCTCATTCTCTTACCTGTAGTACAAAAAATATTACATCAACCCTCTTTATGCCATCTCAGTCCAAAAGACTGAGGAAATAAAAGAAGCATACTCGCATTTACGCATGCATTTCTTGCCCTGAATGTAAGACTTTAATGTAGCTTTAGGCCACACAGCAGACTTCAAAGAAAGAACGTGCACGGTGAAAATAAGCTCCCTGCACGTGCAATTGATGCTTAATGTTTATTTTATCTTTTCACCCAACCTTGTGCATAGATGTAAATGCGTCTGAAAGCTTGTGCGAACGGGAGCCCTTCTTACGTTGGTTTTCCAAAAACTGCAGATGTCCTGTAAGCAAACCAAAAATTCCAACCCGGATGACAAATGGGCCCAAAGGAATGCCAAATCGAAATCCAAACCAAATGAACTGTACGTAAGAGACATTTTGCCAAGCTTTTCTGAAGCCATGGAAAAACAGAAGGGAAAATTATCTAACCAGGTTCCTCGCGCGCATTCATTTTATCTGAGCTCTACATTTCTACTGGGCTTTGGTGTAAATAACCGTTGCTTTAGTTTCCCAGAGGGCTCTGCTCTTCTGAGTCTGTGTGGGAAGGAAATTTGTACTCGAGCTGACAACAAATCATTATGTTATTGGAAGTACAAAAAAAGACGATAAGATAAAAATCCTTTAAAAGCCTATTCCAGCTGTTAATGGGCCAGAGGCAGTGCACAAGACAGGTCACAGCCCAGGGTGGGGACCAACACACACACACATTCACATTCACTACTTAGGGCAATTCAAAATTATCCAAGAAGTCCTCATCACTTCATTTGATTCCCATTTGTGACATGATAGATTTGAAGATACTGGTAATAGTTTTTAGGGTCCTAAATGGTTTAGTTGTGCCTCATCTAGAAGAACCTTGATATCATTACATACCAGCTAGAATACTGACGGAGCTAAGCAGATGCTTTCAAATGTTCGAAGTTATCCTAAAAAAAAAAACCAGATAATTATGCCTTTTGCAGTGGCTACTGATCTGTGGTGACCTTGTAAGAAATCTTCAGACCCTGAGACCACGATGCTCTTAAAAAAAGAGCATTCAGTTTGGATAGAGCTTTTTCAACGTCCTTTAACGTCCATGTTTTATTCTTAACACCTTATTAACCGCAGAGCTTGTTAAACAACCCGTTTACACTTCACTATTTGGAAGTATTATGTGTTATTTAAAAGTAGGAATACTATGAGTAAATGGTTCTCAATCCCCCTCTTTAATATCACTTGGGACAGAAATCCTAGGTGCTGTTGACCTCAAATTTAATTCACAGAAGAAATTAGAATTCGACTGGTTGGTGGCTCAACCTGTTCCACAGGTGGTGAAGCTTCTCTGGGCTGAAAACACCTCAATATTTTAGTACCTAGTCTGAAGCTTGACAGAATAGACCTTTTATCCACAAGCTGTTCTTTTCCTCTGTGTCCTACATGCCCTGTGTAATTCTAAAGGTCTAGCTGAGTGATGTCAAGAGCTAATGACGACTGCTTGCTCCTGGTTGCCTGAACGTACCTGGCTGCGAAGCACGGATGGATGAGAGTTATGGAGAAGGTGAGCCGTGGAGCTGGGTGGTGGTGCCTTCAAGTTGGATGCCCTTTTAAGTTGCGGTCCCTCATCATTTCTGGACTCAGTGCAGTCAAAGTTGCTCTTCCACACCATTAGCTGCAGAGAGGCTATACATCAACTTTGAAACAATACACCAAAGTCACATTTGTAAAGCTATATAACAGTCATATCAGGGAAGGAACAGAGCAAACCTTTGCAAAGTAAGAAAATGAGGCTACATTTAATTGTTGAGTCAGCCATTACCTGTTCATCAGAGCCTCCAGAGGAAAAGTACTCTCCGGTCCGAGAGAAGGCTACACAGGTGACTGGACCCTGGAGTGAAGGAGGAGAATGGAGCTGATAATGCAATGAACACTTGTCCTATTAAACAAGACATTAGAAGAAAATAAAAACCTTGAACCATCCTTAAGCTATTAGCTTGCAAAGGTTTGCTACATTCGTGAGGATGACATTTATGAAATACATTCTCCGTTTCCATTTACCAGCAAAGAAATTCTGAAGGATGTTTGCCACAAAGCCAAAGGAATTTGACTAAAGTTAAGTAACTTGGCTGTGTAATATCACCAGAGGGTAGCTGTACAAGATGGGTTTTATTGTTGGTTCAAAATCAGAAAAAGACGCAGCTGTTACAAGGGCCAACAAGCCTCAAGGAAGAAAAAACCACTGCAGTGGACATCCACGGGAGCAAATGGAGAGAACTCTTCTTCAGGAAGTACTTTCACCTCTGAATATCTGGTAAATCATACATAGGAGGACACCTGTGAGACACACTAACTTGCCTGCTGGTTTATACTGTCAAAAAACTGCCAAGTTACACGAATAACACTTGCCAGTTGAAACACATTTGGTGGATAAAATTCCACAAATGATCGACTGTGAAACTGGTTTTTTTTTTTTTTATACGACAAACATCAGCCAGACTGACGTAATGGGTGTTTCGATACATGAATGCATGTCGCTGTTGGTCAGACAAAACACACACAATAAAGAAATCTTTTTAAAATCTCTGAATAAATAGCGGTTGTCTGAGAAGCTTCCTGTCCATTCATAAATTTTCCCAGCCGTACATACAGCAACTTAAAATAACAGGAATAATTACATCTACTTTGCCAAGAAACCCTGTTAAGATGTAGGTGTTAATGTAAACAAGGGATACTACACAGTATGATTTACGCATTACAGATCACTGGAGCACAATACAGACCAACTTGCTGGTTAAATCGGTGTGTGATTGTGGAGATGAGTGGGTGTAGCTGAGGAAAAGGAATCGATAACTAAAAGCAGAGAGTCGGGGGGGTGGGGGGAATCACACGTGGTAAGAGCCAAATATTCAGAAGAAAAAAATAAGGAAAAACAAACGAAAAGTAGGGCATGCCAGGACTTTTACATGCCATGTGCTTGGTTTGAGTGAACATGCGCGAACCTGGAAAACAATCCCAAAACTCTGAAATCATGCCCTTTCTTGTGTCTTCACTTCAGAAACCTCTTGACTGCATTCAAAGAGGAGATGAAGGGAAGAGCAAACAAAAGCACTGGAAAATAAATGAACAGGTTTGCCGCTGGGAGGGGAAAAAAAGAGGAGCCGTGTCCTGTGGTTGGCACACAGACAGGCTGGTTTGGGTGAAGAATGGTTTCCCAGAAGCACCTGAGAGAAGCAGACAGTGTCACTATGGCAACGCGACGGCCTGACAGACAGCATGTTCTGTCTCTGCTCTGACTAATGCCTGCTGCCAGGCTGGCACTTGCCATGGCCACACACACAGACACACACGTGCACACTTTGACACAGCAATGAACCTAACTGGCACATTTTGTATTCTGATCAATTAAAAGGGTTTTCAAAAAATGAATAAATAAATAAAATATTGAGTTTTATACAGAGCATTTTTAATTTAAAAAAAAAATCTAACAGACTTTCTCCCTTTTTTTTAATCTATATTGTGTACATGTCGATGGAAAAATGCATCTATGTATCCCTAATTCACATTAAATGCTGTGTCCTATTCCTGGTGCCCCGAAACAGTACAGAACACTCTCTGAAAGCACGTGCAATAAATAAATGAGGCTTAACATTAAAAAAAGGAGAGGGGAATCACATCTCAGTCATAGATCAAAGAAGAAACATTAAGGTTCCTCATCATGTTGCTTGCTATCAGTTTTATAGTTTATTAACTTATTTTGTGCAATACTTTATAAAAAAAATGTCTTTCTTAAATTTAAATTTCCTTTCCGAGCTTCCTTTCTACAAAACTTTAAATGCATAAGCATGGCTATTCCTAGAAACAAGTAATAGTTCCCGACCTGCAAAGCTGATGTTTTCCTTGATTTTAAATTTAAATTCTAATTTGGTAATGAATATAACAATAAAACTAGCCCTAACACAAAAACATTTTTGTTTAAATGCTGTTCACATTAGCAACACTAAAACCTTAAACTACACAGAAATCAAATGCAGTTTTCCTTATAATGCCATGACATCATTTTGACAACTAAGCAGTTAGGTCACAGCATTACAGTCAACAACCACTTCTTCACAATCTGTGATATGCTGCTCTTTCCACAATGGACCTCTGCTAAATTACTAATGAACTATTGTTCAGGTGCATCGTCTCTAACCTCTACACTGTGGTCGGTGCGTTCAGCTAACCTTGTGCTGACAGCCCTTTGAAAAGCTGTGGCCTGGAGGCCTCTAATGAGTCTACAACCACCAAAGGACATAGGAGCGTGCCGGTTGGATTTTTGTGGCCCTGTCTTTCACTCCCACAGAGTTACCTGCTAACCACTCCATATATAAGATACATCGTGTGTCATCTGGTCCATGGGCTCCTAAAAAGTTTTTGAACTTACTGTTTGAGTTGCTGTAAGAAAGACATTATGAAGACCAAACGTCTGAAAGTTGCACGGGGACAAACTGACCTAAATTACCGCAATTCAACCCAGTCCAGGTAATATCCTCCTGAGGATTGGTAAACAACATGCTTGTCAAATCCAACAGCCTAACACTTGCCTGTTTTCCTATAAAGCACTGGCACATGGGACTGCACGTACACACAACACAACACATGCAGGCAGACACAAACACATTAACCTACGCACCCACACTGAAAAGACGGGGGTTTCTCCATCTCTACATATACGACGGGAGAGACAATTAGCACTCTGAGCACTCCAGCACCAACAGATTGGCGGCGATAACACAGAGCCAAAAACAACAAGAACTAAAATTGAGACAAAGTATGAGATGAAAAATTTGGAGGAAGGAAAAGAGAGGGAAAAATGCTTTTTTCAGCTGGACAAAGAGATGAATCTTGGCAAGCAGCTCGAGAGAAACACAGGTGACCCATACAAAAATGACAAAAAGTGAGACAGAAAAAGTGAGCAGGAGGATAGATAAACAGATGGACCACATGTGGTACTGGCAAGCCACCGGTTTCCACAACTAGCCAGCAAGCCAGTCCATCAGCTGTTCAAACAAACACACACGGTCAGAGCGCCGGCGAGCCCCAACAGCCAAAATGTGAGCACATGCTATGGAGGACATGGAGAAGAGTTGGGATCAAAAGCAGAACTGAAAGAGGAAAAACGAGATGATTGTGGAGGCAGCTAGGAGGAGGGCTTGCTGAGGTCTGAGAAAAAAAACACAAAAGACAAAACCAGAAAGAAGTAAGAGAAGAAAGAAAGGAACCAGAGGAACGGGGGCAGAAACACAGTTCTGTTTCCTTCCAGCAACCCTGGGATGACTCATCATGAGTGGGCTGACTGCTCGCCAGGCGAGCACTAAAATACACCGCGTACAAAAAAAAAGGCACCATACGCACACACTCACTCGCAGTTTAGACAATCAAACATAACAGCGGGGATGTCAAACACTGGCATATATTTGTCCATTCCAAACTCTCTCCACAGTCACTCACAATCACAGAAAAGGCAGACATGACCCGTACAGGTCACGGGTAGGTATATGGGACATGAAAATAATACTAATCACTTATACGCGGGATGTGTGTTTCTACCTGGTGTCCGTGCAGTGTGTACAGCAGCTTGCCCTCAACAAGGTCCAGAACTTTCACTGTGGAATCGCTGGATGCAGTGATCAGGAAATCACCAGCCGGATGGAAAGACAAACTGCTCACCGGGCCACTGTGGACTGGAGGACACCAACAGAGTTTATCGCTGGACTGAGACAGACATCGAACTGAAAACACGCTTAAATTTAAGACCAAGAGTCATTCAAAACAAAAACGTTAATGACAGAAAGCTTCTGACAGGGCACTTTCTATCACGATTTCCACACTAACACACAAACACGTTCCGATCTGTACAAAAAAAGCAAAAAGAGTTTAACTTAAATATTTGCCCCTGGGTTTACAATCTTTCAATGTTATCCAGACATGTTTCAGCATTTTCTTGTTTTCCCCAGTTATTATTCAGTGTGCACTGCACACTGAATAATCAGTCAGCTAAATCGGTGCTTCGCTGAAGTTTGAGGTACTTTTTCTTTTTGGGGTATTACAGAGTAATTACATTACAGCAGGATTTTTGCTGAACATGTATCATCTCTCCCAATCATCTGGCCTCCAGAGGCAAGTGGATAAATGACCAGCTCTGATCCGATTACATCTCTGGGGCTGAGACAGTCTGAACACAGCACGGACCTAAAGGGGTTGAGAATATGTCCTGGGCGGCAAAGAGATGTTATCAAATGCCCAACCACCATTTAGAAACTATCTAATTTAATTCAATTTGAAACACTGCAGCAAACCACAGGATCATGGCACCGTTAAATGTTTTCTGACATAAAAAACATAACTTATCAAACAGTTCATTGAATGAGTTTTTGATGAATTCTTAAAATCAACCAAAAATGTTATATGACATTGTTACAATTTAGAAACAATTTGGTCTGTACGGTTATTTAGGTTCTGTTGTTAATACTTGGACATATTGTTTTTCATTTATTTACTGGGGAGAGGAGGAGGTCAGATATTTCAGGTAGAGCTGATCACTGACATCCCCTTAGCCAGCTGTCGTATTGAGTACATCCCGCTGCTCCATCTATTGATTATCAAACAACAGCTTTTTAACATCAACACAGACATTTTTCATTAAGTAAGGTAGCCTTTAGCGACGAATCATAACTTCCCCTCTTCAAATCACTCTGCCATATGTTAATGCTTTCCATAAGAAATGAGGACAGAGATCATTTGACAGGCTATAGCTCCCTCTGCTGGCTTATTGGTGCAATGGCATACTGTTACTCGATTAAAAGAGGCGCTGAATGGCTGCAAATGAGCTGAGATAAAGCAGGAAGGCCGTATTTTCCTCACATAATGCAGAGTCATAAAGGATTGGCTATGAGTTTAACATCTTGATGAATACAAAACCCCAGGAAATGACCACAATGCAATAAGCCGAGACAAGTAAAAGCCCTCTAAGCATACTGTTCTGCTTCCGTTGTTCTGAACGCAAATTTGAAAAATTGGAATATCTAGGCTTTCTAAAGCTGCACTGGCATATGTAAAGTGAAGCTGAGAGGAAGAAAGAAGGAGGAGGAGGAGGAGGGAAAGGAGGAGCTTTTATCATCATGCCCAATCTCCTCAGGCAGATGTGATTATCCATTATTAGATCTCACAACTGAAATCCATTTAGAAGAGCTGATTGGAACAATCAGTTTGAGTGGCACACTAACAAAAAGACATCGACGTTTAGTTTATGGAATATGCAAGGAATCGTTTGTCTCGATTACCTTTCTAATCACAGAGGATCAAAGCTTAATTTCCTTGGAGTGCTTTTTTTTCAGTTTTTTACATCTGATCTGCATTTAAAAGAGAATCATTAAAGTAGATGTACAGTCTACTTAATATAAACGGATATAATAAAAAGGCAGTCTAAAGGCATTTTATTCATCTATGAATGTTGTGTTTTGTCTATTGAAATGGTATGATGTTCTGTTGTGAGGCCAAGAACATTCTCTGCCTGAATGCAGTTTGTGCATTTTCTACAGCAGATGATAGGTCTGTAAAGTCCCTTTACCTTGGTAGTGCTGAAGCATCTTATGGGATCTGATGTCCCACACCTTCACAGAGTTGTCGGTGCATGCTGCAGCAATGCACGTTCCACTGGGGTGAAAATCCACGTGATTGGCGTAACTTTGACAAAAGCAAACGCACAATAAGTCACCTCACTAATGATCACCAGAGTCGAGATAAATATTGCTAGCAGTTTCTCTTTGACACATGGTCAAAACCTCAAGAACTTGTGCAGGTGGAATGCGTTCTCACAATTTCACAAATTAAAGAGTTAGGCGGATTTTGGTGGCTGAACAGGCTGCATGAAACGTTAAAGTATCACATGGTTCTGTTTACAGCACTTCATTAATGGCAGAAGAGACAATGTCAATTGGCGAAATACACAAAAAATATATCAAAATGTTCTTTAGGGGACTGTTTTATCTCTTGTTGATTGAATCGTCTTTCCCATTTTTCTTTCCCATTTTTCCAAATTGTCCCTCTGGAAGTTGGTGCTCACCCAGCATGTTCAAGAAAAGAATGAATGCACTCTTTACTGTTCCTGTCCCACAGCTTTATGGTCTTATCGTCACTGGATGACACAATCAGCCGATCATCTGGAGAAAACCTGCAAAAGCAAATATCCAACCATCAAAATATATGCAAAATGAATTCCATTCAAACTATAAAAAATGATGACATATTAAAACATTTGTCAATAAATATGGGTACATATGTGTGTCATACTTAGCACAGCGAACCCAGTTGATGTGCTGACTGAGCGAAAAGAGAAACTTCTGCCTGTGTACGGTCCACACTTTGATGGTCTTGTCATCAGAAGCTGTGACGAGAGTCTGCCCATCACCAGAAAAATCAACACTGCGCACTGTGGAGGTGTGAGCCCTGAACACCGTCGACTCAGCCTTCCTGTATTCACACCAGACATCAGTCAAATGTTAAAGAAGCATTCGGCGGGTCATGCTTTTGTCATGCTCCTCAGTAATCATTCTGGGGTGAAAATGATTCTACTTTAAAACCTACATGCTGGGGACCCAAAGACGTACGGTCTTGTCTCTGGAGGCAGATGCCACCAGGTGACCAGAAGGAGAAAACTGAACAGAAGTGACAGCTTCTTTGTGCCCATTAAAGCGATAAGCTCGCATCTGCGGCTTCATGTTCCAGATCATCACACAAGAGTCCATAGAACCCGTGGCTAGGAGAGGAAGAACCACATATACGAGTAGGTTAAGAAACAAATTAAACAAAATGACAAAAAAAAACAACAAAGATGTTTAGCTTAAGATACACCGTCACAATCTTAATTCCAAAGTTTTGCTTTACCATGCAAAAAAGAATGTACCAAGTTTATTTTACACAACATTATAACTTCTACAGAATTAAGGATGTACAAAGAAAACAATAGGAAGCCATTACCAATCTGTTTCATGTTGCAGCTGAAGTCAACACTTGTCACAGTGTCCCTGTGACCCTTGAAGTGCCTCTCCAGGGTAGGATCAGCCTATTGACAGAGAAACAGTTACATACACAGTGATGATGAGCTGAAGTGGGAGTTTATCCCAATTGGGTTGGGTTTGAGAGGCAAGGTACAACATGGACAGGTTGCCAGTTCATCACAGACATACATTGACTCGCAAGGGTAATTTGGAGTCATAAAATAACCCAACACACATGTATTTTGATGGTGGGACGAAACCAGCAAACCGGGAGAGAACCCATGCATGGATATGGAGGAACCTATCTATGAAAACTTAGAATCCCCAGGATTCGAACTGGCAACCTCTAAAGAGACAGGTTTAAAGTTTCATGAACATAGTACTACCTCTCACCGTTTTAAAATTAATATAATAATAAAATGTGATTTGGACAAAAATATTTGACTGGTAAAAAATGATAATTTATGTTATGAGACTAACTTTAACCACTAACCACCCATATTCCAGTTAAAATTTTGGAAATTAAAATTTTAGGAAATTAAACAAAAGAAATTCAAAACATAGGAGGACTACTTATCTACAAATAAGCCTACAAAAGCCCCTTTAGTAAATTCATGAAGATTTCCCTAATACATGCAAGTACTTCTAAATGTACCTATAACAAATGAACTATAATTAATGTCGAGTGTTAGGAATTAACCAACAATACTTTGAAAAAGATTACATTTTGAGGGTCAACCCCTGGTTAAAACTTCTTTCTGACAAACCGGAAGTGCTGCCTGACAGTCAAAACAAAGGGTGTAGTACTACACTAGCTATTGGACAGGCTGGGTTACCAAGGTGACGCGAGCTGAGCTAATGCTAACCGTGCAACTGCTGAGCTAAAAGACGGAATCTGGATTTTGACTGTCGTATGTGGTGGTCAAAGAGAACTGCTGCGATATGGCGGAGCTGCACATCATAGGACAGATCGTCGGGGCCAGTGGCTTTCCGCAAAACAGCCTATTTTGCAAATGGGGAGTTCACACGGGAGGAGCATGGCGTCTTCTATCTGGGCTGAAAGAGGGTCAGACCCAGGTAGACATCCCCCAAACCGGAGACATGGCGTACTGGAGTCACCCAATTGACTTGCACTACGCGACCAAAGGACTCCAAGGATGGCCAAAGTTCCACCTCCAGGTTTGGCACCAGGACTCTTTCGGGCGTTGCCAGCTGTACGGGTATGGGTACTGCCATGTTCCCTCAAACCCTGGACATCACCGGATAAGCTGTGTGACCTGGAGGCCGCTCGGCTCCTGGCAAGAGCAACTTGCACAGATTTTTGTGGGTGGAGGTCCCCAGCTCCGCAGCCCTGACCTGATATACAACGGGGCGGACAGATACAGACTGCAAACCGAAGCCATGGGGACTGTGGAGCTGGAGCTGGGAGTTATTATGAGACACTTCGACAAATATGGCGTCGAAAGTTGAGACGTTAACAGAGAAGAACTCGGGGGAATTGTGATTAATTTCACATCGGACCAGTGATGAGCCACATATTCACATATTAAATAACATTTAGTAACTTTTTAAAACATTTTTCTAAAAAAGCTGTAAACGTTTTTACGTTCAAAATACACCAACGTGTAAATAAACTATTGTTAAAGAAGTTGGTTCCTTGTTGGTCTGTACCATCATTCACAAACTCCTATTTGAAGCCATTTACTATCGTGTATTCATAAATCAGGGGTGCTCTGATCTCATATTCACATACCCTTCTACAAATCTGCATTATTTAAATTATTCTACATTTCATGTTCAATTAAAAAACTCCAGTCAGTTCACAATTTCACTTTTTTGAAAATGATACAACTAAAGCACCTTTAGGAGATACACCTATAATTGCTGGTGCAATAGATACGGCCAGAAATTCAAGGTTTTCATTTGTTAAATGTTTAAATTAGATGTATTATGTCAAGTTGACAAGTTTTAAATCATTTCTATTGATGAGTTAAACCGTTTCTGTTCCTACAGTGTCATCTACAGATACTTTCACAATGGTATAATATTTAATAGTAGCCCGTCGTAGGGGCAGGAAGAATTGTGATTTTATAGCAATATGAAAACATGCACACATGATAAATTCGTAGTTATCCGTTTTGAACCGGCGTGACATTACACAGAAGAAACGCACTTCTTTGCTCTTGCAATGCGTACCATGCAGCTAACTTACCAGCGAAGAAGTCATTTTTCTTAAAAACCGTGGCAACCACCCGATGAAAGAAGCTTAGCGGTTATCTGACACTTATACCCGAAATGTTAACACCCTCGGCTCCGTTAATAGGACCAGTTTGATGACCAATATCATCTGGACAAAACACCGGTTTGCTAATGTTAGCTTAAAGCTAGCTGATAGTTGCTGACAACAACAAAGTTCAGTTTACGCGCCGCGATTGGGCGCTGAGCAGTTGGTCCGATCTCTTAAAGGGGAAATTGTACGTCCATGGACGTTTTGGTGGACAGAAAACTTTACAAACCGTGATAAACGTATGCGGATAGTGACAAAAAAAAGTGTATAAACGGTCATACCAAAAGGTGATTATTCAAATCCATAGCGTTAAAAGTGAATATTTCCATTTCAGGCTGCGTGAAAGTGTAGTGATCTTCCGTTGCCACCAGATGTCAGGCGCGGTGCACTGAGGTTTGGCGATTTCTTTCCTGACGATGTGGACAGGAATTAGTTCAAATGGAGAATGTTTACTTTGACAGTGTTCTAAACGAATAACTCGTATTTTGCAGCAATATTTCCATTTTATGCAACTAAACTTCGGTAGATGAAGGAGAAACGGAATCAACTACGCTATATCTAACACAGTTAATATAAGTTTAAGTTTTTTGAAGTTTAGTAATTCACATCTACATTTGTCTTTAAATACATTTAAATTTGTGATATGTGAGCTATTAACACTGACTGTGTTAAAAACTTATGGTGCCTAACATAGGCCTGCAGTTCACAAATTTTCGTTGGAGTTTATACCAGTAGACATTAAAAAAATAAACCCCAATAATTCTTCTTAAGTTCTTCCAATTTATAATACTTGGGTTTGTGCTTTTTACAAAGTGTATGTCAAATATTAAAGTGTGTGGCCCAATGAGTAAGGTCTTTTGAAGACATTCCGACCTTGGAATGACATGATAAACCTTGACAACCCTCTCAAGGCCTTTCGTCAAATCATTATTACATACGTGATGGTTTGCCCTCACACATTTCAGCGTACACAATAAGCTGGAAACCCTTCAAGCTTGTACAGTTTGCATTATCCACTTGGCTTTGTTTCCTGCTCCGAGACCCATGTGCAGGGTGTTGTTGCCATGGTAAAGAAAGACAGTTACATGACTGAATATAGGTCATCTGAAGTCACCTGAATATAGATCACCAGAGGATTAAAATGTTTTGTAGCATACTATCTACCATCGGGGACGGATAGAACTAAAATCACTCAAATCAACCGAATATTCAGGTCTTTAAGTGGTACCTTTCAATTATTCATTGTTATTGTTATTCAGGTAACAACCATCTCTATTGACCTATTCAGTGTAAACCCATAGTTTACTTAGTTTCAAGGAGAAATGTTCCTTTTTATGATAATAAAACTAAAAAAACAGCATTATACGTATTAACTCATGTGGGATTACAAGCTGTAATTAAATTGATTTAAAATATTTAAACAAGAAAGCATCATGTGTCTGGTTTTGGAATGTAATCACAAAAAGAAGACAGCCATATACAGCAAAGTCAGAAAGCTTGCTCACGATGTACATCTGAGTCACAAACAGATTATTTCTTCAAAAGTGCATTTCTTAAAGTTGCTTGAATTGCTCAGATATGACTCTTTTTGAAAACATAATAATCGTCATGTGTTTGAAAGTGAGACATTCACCTCTTTTTTCTTAACTTCTTAGAAGCATTATTGAATTTGACTTATGAATCACAGACCATATTTGATTCGACATGGGAAGTCAAGATTCTACTGTGACGATTATCAGATGCAGTTAAATGTCATTTGACTGGTGACTTAACAGATAGGGGATTCATAAGTCTGACTGGCAAAGTCATACACTGCGTATATGCGTATTTACTGTTATCAGTAAAGTCAACACACTAAAGCTAATCTGTTTGGGGCTAACCCACAAGTTTACATCATTCTATTAAATGGTTTCTGTCAAACAAAGAGTGCATTTCCCAATAAATGTGTAACCCAGTGAAAAATAAGTTGGATGAGAATGAACGGGAATCCTTTGTCAGCAACTGTAAATGGACGTCAGTCCTGAGTCACTCAAATACACCCACACAATCCCTGTAAACACACACAAATACTCTTGCAGAGTTAAACATTTCCACAAGGCAATCAGAACTTGGTCAACAAACCGTAAATATGACATGTGTTTTAAGGAAAGAGGATGGAGTTCCCTGAAAATAATTGATCCATGGACACATTTTCCTTTTCCTTAAAGGAAATGTTTTTATCTGTTGAAGTTCTTAACTCATTTACTGCAGCTACTAAAACTTCGAAAGTGCCATTATCTCATCTCCCAAAAAACAAACTTTCATAAATTTTTCTATGATCTTTAACGGCTTACTTATATTTGGAAACAATTAGATTTTTTTTTTCTGTCAAATTGACCATTTTTCGCACCACATGCAGAGCAGAGAACATTTCAACACAAAGACTAGAAGAGGAGAGAAAAATAACTTAATTAGAGTGGAATCCTATATATGTAATAATAAGTCAAGGCATTTGCTTATGTTGTGGATTGTTTGTACTTTTTGATTAAATTATTAATTTCAGCTTTGTTTGACATGTGGTTATTTATTATTTGTAAAGGTCACAAAATAATTCATATTCTGCCACACCTATGTTTGCTTTTTGCCTGCTTCAAAAATGAAGAAGCATTTTAAAACAGCCGATCCACCTTCTTAGACTGTTCCAGTGTAAGGTAGACCAAAATGTTTTTCTTTGAAAAAGCCTTACTTCCGTGAGGGAAACATCTCCCTGTCTTTTCAAAGACATGCCTTATTTATCAAATGCATCAACTCAAGGCGGAAGGTTTCCTCATTGTTCCACGCTTAAATGCTTCTATATTCCAGTAAAGACAATGGTGGACAAAGGTGGTTATTTATTTTTAGATAACCAGTTGAAAGGACATACATTTCAGGAATGAGGAAATGTTTCGGCCTGTAAATGCTCTCTGCTGCTCATAACTGCTTCAGTGGTTTTCAGCTTGGCAATGTTTCCCGGTACTAAAGTCGTGGCTTTACAACTCAGTGGTAATTATTTATCAGACTGTACACAGAGACTACTTGTCTCAGGTGATCGTTTTTTTTTCTTTGTTTTAAGAATGGTTGCACAGTTAACAATGACACAAGGTTTAAAATGTCATATAGAATAATTTAATAGTCAGGGAAACTCATAATGACTTGACCTGAAAGCGTTAAAGGTGACATGAAACTACAATAGGCTGTAATGTGAAAAATTCCCAGTGACGTCTCCATTCTCCAACAAGAGCCATGTTTTTTACACACAGCAGAATGAGTCTTTTAGTTTCATATGCCCCTGCTGTGTCTTTTACATGAGTCTCTTCACCTCTGTCATAACTGCCCTGGCTCAAACTGTTATGTAACATCAGATCGTATGCCAAGACAGAAACCTGATCTGGTCTCCTGTCACAGATTTTTGTATTTAGTGTCAAGATTTCCTCTAAGTTTTGAATATAGTAACAAAATAATTCCAGTTGAAAGCGATATGTTTTCCATATCTTTCTTAAATAGCTTTCATGGTGCACCACGTGAATCAAATCTAACCAATTTGAGTGTCTAATCTTGATGCATGACAGATTTAAATTACCCCCAGGGAGAATCACTGAAGTATTTTCTGCTATGTTGTAGTCTAGCTGATAGCTAAAATGGTCTATTTCACCCTCTAAACTTTACGAATTTATGATGATTAAGTGCTTACTCTATGTTCTTTAGCTGATAACTTAAAAACATCCAACAAGGATACAAACTGTTTTTATTCTTAAAAATGTGTTTGTTGCATTATCTCACAATTATGCTGAATTTAGTGTTTCAAAGTTAACTGATTCAGAATTTTGTGTTGTGGTTTTTCTGCCTGATGTTAGCTGAAAATGCATCCTCAGGTTTGTGAATAATTAAGGTTGTAATACTCTCTCTATAAATGTGCGGTTTATCCTCAGCTCTGTCGCATCGTCAAATAACAGTCATGTTAGCTAATAACTTCTAAGAATAACGTCTCATCATGCACCTCTATACGTTATCTTTTTCCCAGTTATTTTACGATTCTAAAAACTCTTACATGTCTAAAACTTGTTTGTTTTGAACTCACTGTTCCCCTCATGTCTTTGACTCCCATCCTGTGTCTTAAAAACATGTTCAGTTTCTATTGTTTAAGTTATTTTCCCTCATCCTCTGT